CCCCAAAACCCCAAAACCCCAAAACCCCATTCATCAGAATAGAGAACTTCGTTGATGTTAAGTGAATTTAATAAAAAGATAAAATTTAGCTATTATCAACAATTAACATAAATGGGAAACTTTGCTTGCATAGAAAGAACTAAGATGGAAGACAATCAATAGGTCATGAATACTGAAGAGGACATTGAAAGGAAGTTCGAGTAAGAAAAAAGGGAGATCAATCTAGTTCCTAAAAAGCGAGACTTTTTTAACTACTATAAATTTATCCACTCAAAGAAAAAAAATGATAAGCATAATCTTGATATGCAGTATTTTAACATCAAAAGAGCAAAAACTGTAAATACTAAGAGACAAAAGACGTTTCTCATTAAGGAATGTAGGAAGTTTCATTTGAATAAAGTTATAAGACAACTCACAATGAATGAAGTGGTATTTGTTCAATAGATAGTAAGTTCAATTCTCATTTTCTCCATAATAATGCATTTTTCTGATTGATTTATCTTGGAATAACTGATAATAATTCACCTTATAGAGTCATATTAATATTCACTCACCAATAGAGATGTTTGAGGAGATGGACAAATTGTATATGGTATACGAAGAACTTCATGGAGGCTCACTTTTAGAACTACTCAATTAGTATATTGAAGCCGATACTAGATTAAGGAATGAGGAAATCGGTACAATAGTATTCCAGCTTGCAGCAACAGTGCATTTCATTCATCAGAAAAATTACGTTCACAGAGATTTGAAGCCAGAAAATATATGTTTTGAGAAGGAAAATGATTTTAGATCATTGAAATTGACAAGCTTTTTAACAGTTAAAAAAAGAGTTGAGAATGAAGTTATAACAGGAATAAATGGATCAGTAAGAAATTATTAAACCTAATATTCTTCTTTTAGTATCTTTACATGGCACCTGAAATGCTTACAGGAGAAAACTACTCTGAAAAAGTAGATATATGGTCTCTAGGAGTTATCATGTATATGCTATGCACTTTAAAGCATCCTATTGGATACTTTGATAATGAAATTTCTCGCTAGAATCTCAAAGAAAAGCTTATAGAAAAGTTCAAGTTTGTTCCCCGAGATGAGTTAATTGATTTCAATTGTGATGAATTCAAGAATTTCTCGAATATAGTGCCAGAGGTTATTAAAAAAATGCTGGAGGTAAATCCTAAAAAGAGAATATCAGCTAGAGACGTTATGAATAATAAATGGGTAAATGAAAACTTCAAAAACTATAAAAGAAAATTGCTTCAAGAGATGCGAAAAACCAACAAAAATGTGTAGTATAATGCAGCTTTCTTAGCGTTTAAAGCGAAAAAAATTAAAAAAGCTTTATTCTCTTACTTTGCAAATATTTTAGCCACTGCCGAGGATAAGGAGATGTTTAGTGAAATGTTTAGATCAATGGATATTGATGGTGATGGAGTACTGACAAGTGAAGAGTTCCAAGAGGCTATGACTAAGTTCAACTAGATTAGAGATGGGGAAAACGCTAAGAACATTACTAAGCAAGTCATTAAGAAAGGCTAGACAATGGAATTGCATGGTAAGAATAGTTTGGTAAATTAATAATTATTATGTAGAGTTTATTAATTCTGCTATTGTGCTAAAACTATTGAACTTTGACGATTAGGATAAAGTTTTGAAGTAGATGTTTGATGCTCTTGACAATGAGTAGCAAGGTGAAATTGATATAGATGATTTGGTTGAGATATTTAAGGATCAAGGATTGCCAGATGTCTATATCTAAATGATTGTTGACTATTGTGATTAGGACAAGAATAACAAGATTAATTATCTGGAATTTAAAGAGTTTATTCTTAAGGAAGATCAAGTTAACGTGTGAAGATTTGTAACATTGAATTATTAAATTACTTAAGGTCTGATCAATACAGATATTATCAACTTTACGGGGTTTTGGGGTTTTGGGG